AAAAAACTGCTCTTAACTTTTTGCAACATGGGTCAAATACAATATTTGTCCTTTTGTCTAATGGAAAAAAAACAGACTTGAGAGTTATGGGTTTGGGCCTAATATCTAAAATTAGCAATTATGTTCTATTTCTAACAAAAACTTTTTTTAAATTTCTAACTTAATCAATCCGCTATAGGTTTCATCTATAGGGTATAAGTAAAATAACAGCCATACTTAGACAAAATCCATTTAAACACACATAGAAATATTATGGTTCAAAGAAAACAAAATATTATTGAAAACAAGAAGTTGATAAATATTATTTCTTCATAAAATTACTTTAATTAGTTATTTAAGAAGGGATTATACATGGATCAATGGCTAGTACTACAAGTAGATATTCAATCTAGAATGAAAGAAAATCAACATTATCTTCTGATGAATGAACTATTTTTAGACATGAGTAACAACGTATGTTAACAACAGTAACTGGCTTGTGTTTACATTGTACTGAAAATGTCTAATATCTATATATATATGCGTAATCATAAACGAGCATTCTCAGATTTAACAGTGTAAATACAAGTTCAATTTGAAATGGAATAATCTAACTTAAAATTTACTTTTTGCTTAAAAAAAATCCTTATAAATGAATATTCCCATTCCTTCAAATAAAAAAAGATCAGATTTCAAGCATAATTTTAATCACTATATAAAATGCATTCATTTTCTATTATGAACACACGGACTAAAATAAAGATGCACAGTTTTAAAAAATTATTATCTTACCTCTGCTTGCTCTGGAGTTTCTCCTGCAAAGTAAAAGATGTAATGTTCTTCACTAAAGTGCTGAACTACTATCTGAAAACAGTTTGGCCTTTAAAATAGAAACAAAATAGTTATTTGTAATTTTAACAGAGTATTAAAATACTTCAACTAACTTTTAAAAATTACAATAAAGACTGTTGTTCAGAGGCATCCTATTGAGCAGGTTCAGACACACAGTACCCTGTACAGGGTTTCTGAAGAGGTTGGAGGGTTTGAACCACTGACCTTGCTGTTAGCAGTCCAGTGCATACCCTACAGCGCCACACCAAGACTGCTGTTATTAGCTGCCAACTAATGTTAGCTGGCACTCATGTTAACATTGTATGTACAAAGCAGAATTGCATAAACCATATGGTTTTTCAATGTTAAGACCTTTAGAAAGCAGATCAACAGGTCTGTCTTCCAAAGGGTTCCATGTTGGGATCAAACCACCAACCTTTTGGCTGAAAGTCACACTTTTATAATTGTGCTATCCAGGCATTCCTTATAAATTTAAAGAAAAATTTTCTAACATGTATTAATTTTAAAGGAGCTCTGGTAGCATAGTGGCTATGAATTGGGCTGTAAACCTCAAGGTCAGCAGTTCGAAACGACCAGCTGTTCCACAGGAGAAAGATGAAGCTTAATGCTCCTGTAAAGATTTACATCCTTGGAAACCCTGTACAGGGTCATTATGAGTCAGAACCGACTCCACAGCACATAACCACCACCACCACCACCACATTGATTTTAAGACTAAATGAGTTTTATAGTTGGATAACAAAGTATCATCTATTGTACCAGAATATTTGTATAAAGGAACTGTATGCTGTACATAAATGTTTCAGAATATAAAGCTGAATCAATCTTTCAGATTATAAAGAAAAGTACTGCTTAAGTTAATTTTAAAACATTAGAAATGCAGAAGTCAAAAGGAAACTGAAACTAGATTTTTAGAATTCTACAGAGCTACTCGAAACATGTTAAACAACAATAATTGTGCTAAACTCAGTGTTTGGGAAGATGCAATATGGACTGATATACAATGGAAAAAGACAAAAAGTTCTAAGACCAAAAGTGTTCTTAGTGATTATCTTTAATTAGATTGTGGGTCATTTAAATTTCCTTCTATATTATATATACTTATCCATATACAGTTCAACATCTCCAAATTTTTTTCAGTTATTTTTCCCCATCTGTTAGATCAGAAACATTTAATTACTTGTTCTGAGAATTAAACAAGTATATCTCCACACATTTATCAGTTTGTCATACTGCAGGGGCTTTCGTGGTGCTGTGATGCTGGAAGTTATGCCACCATGGACAGGTTTCAGCAGAGTTTCAAAAATAAGAGACTTCTTAGTGACCCATTTATGAGGGATTAGCCATTGAAAGCCTTATGAATAGTAGGAAAGCATTGTCCTCCACTACATAGCGCCAAAGATGAGACCCTCAGGTTGGAAGTCACTCAAAATAAGACTAAGGCAGAGATGTATTCTAAAGGAGAGTCGACATAAATTATGAGGATGGAACATTTTTCATTTGCTGATGGGTACAACTTAAAATGAAAACGAACAGCTGCATAAACACATTAATCATCAGAACCTGCAAAGTATGAAAATTGGAAGTTGACAAGAAGAACCAGGCATTAGTGAGCTGAATGACAGGTACTGGCAATAATAAATTGGACAATCATATGACTTACTACTGGAGTCTAGTGTGCCATTGTAGTCTAAGCACTGGACCAAAAGGTTGAACTGCGTGTCGGCAGTTCAAACTCACCAGCCACTTTTCAGAAACCCCATACAGAGTCACTAAAAATCGGAACTGACTCGATGGCATTTAACAACAATAGCAATAATCATTTACTATTACGAGAATAACTAACTGAAGAATTGCGCATATGCATCACCAAAAAGAACATTTCAAGATCTTGCAGTACAATGCTGCAAGGAAGACTAGTTAATACAACTATTATTAAAATTTAAACACCAAAAAAAAATCCAATAATGAAGAAATTGAAGAATGTTGCCAATTTTTTTATCTGAAATTGATCAAGTATGCAGTTGATACTGGTGATTGAAATACAAAAATTGGTCATAAAGAGAAGCAATCTATATAGTTGAAAAATATGGCCTTTGTCCTTGGTTATGGAATTTCAGCAAACAAGGCTGTACCATCTGCTTATACTAGGCTGTTAATCAGTCTTCCTCCAATCCTGATGCCACACATACAAGATGAATAAGTATGATGAAAGAATACAACCCTGTCACACACCTTTCCTAATTTTAAGCCATTCAGTGTCCCCATGTTCTGTTTGAACAACTGCCTCTTGGTCTATATACAGGTTCCTCATGAGCACAAGTGTTCTGGAATGCTCATACTTCACAATGTTGTCCATAGCTGTCATGATCCACGCAATCGAAAGCCCTTGCATAGTCAATAAAGCACAGGTAAACATCATTCTGGTATTCTCTACTTTCAGCTAAGATCCATCTGATGTCATCAATGATATACTTTGTTTCACGTGCTCATCTGAATCTGGCTTGAACCTCTGGAAGTTACCAGTCCATGTACTGTTTTACCATTTTTGAGTTTCCTTTAACAAAATTTTATTTGCATGAGATATTAAAGATATTGTTTGGTGATTTCCACATTGGGTCACCTCTCTTTGGAAAGATCACAAAATAATGAATCTCTTCCAGTCAGTTGGTCAGGTAGCGTGTCTTCCAAATTTGTGGGCATAGATGAGTGACTCCCTCCAGTGCTACATCAGTTTGTTGAAAGAGTTCAATTTGTATTGCATCAATTCTTTAGATTAGCTCTTTGCTAATCCCTTGAAGTGAATCTTAAGACTTCTTCCTTCAGTACCACTGGCTCTTGATCATATGCTCCCTCTTGAAATAGTTGAACACAGACCATTTCTTTCTGGTACTGTGACTCTGTGTATTCCTTCCACCTTCTTTGATGCTTTCTACCATCACTGAATATTTTGCTCAAAGAATTCTTCAGTATTTCAAGGTGAGGTTTGATTTTTCTCCTCACTTCTTTCACCCTGAGAAACGCTGCACGTGGTCTTCACTTTTGGTTTTCTAACTCTAAGTTCTTACACATTTCAATATTGTACTGGTTTCTTGAACTGTTGTTTGAATTTTTCTGCTCAGCTCTTTTACTTCCTCATTTTTTCCATTTTCTTTAGCATTTCTATGCTAGAGGGCAATTTCAGAGTCTCTTCTGATATCCATTTTGGCCTTTTCTTTCTTTCTTGCCTTCTTAATAATCTTTTGCTTTCTCCCTGCATGATGTTCTTGCTCTTGAGACAATCTCTAAATTCAGGTGGATTATGTTCAAAGTCTAATTTTGGCTCTTATGGACTTATTCAATTTTCCTCAGCTTCAGTCTGAACTTGCATATGAGCAACTGATGGTCTGATCTGTTCTACAGTCTGTCCCTGGCCTTGTTTTGGCTGCTGATATGGAGGTTTTCCAGTGCTGTGGGCTAATGCGCTGGACTACAAAATCTGTTTGAACCACAAGACTGGCAGTTCAGATTCACCAGTTGCTCCTTGGAAACCCCATAAAGGGTCGCTATTGGTCAGAACTGATTCAATGACCCTCAACAAGAAGTCAATTTGATTTCTGTGTATTCTATCTGGTGAGATCCATATGTACATATGTCTTTTATGTTGTTTTAAAAAGGTATTTGCAATGAAGAAATTATTGGTCTTGCAAAATTCTATCATGCAATCTCCAGCATCATTTCTATGGCCAAGGTCATATTTTCCAATTACTGATTCTTCCTCTTTGTTTCTAACCTTTGCATTCCACTCACCAGTAATTATCAATATATCTTGATTGCATGTTTGATTGATTTCCCACTGAAGGAGCTGATAAAATTCTTCAATTTCATTATGACTAACTCTAATGGTTCATAACTTTGAGTAACAATGGTATTAACTGGTCTTCTTTGGAGGCATATGGATATTGTCCTGTTACAGACAGCATTATAATTCAAGGATCTTGAAATCCTTTTGAAGATGAACGCAACACAATTCCTCTTCAATTTTTCATTCTCAGCATAATAAATCATTTGTTTGTCAGATTTAAAATGGCCAATACCAGCCCACTACAGCTCACTAATGCCCAGGATATCAATTCAAAATACCAGTAGCATAGCTTACAGTATCACAGCAACACACAAACTACCACAGAGAGACAAACTGACAGACAAGAGGTGCAAGTGATTCCATATGACTATCTAAAAGGACTCTGAGCTTAACAGTTGACATTATTGATGGTTAAAAGAGACGCAATGGATATTGAGCTTAAATGTAGACAAGCCTTGCACTAGATGTCATAAGCTGAATCTGCCTAGAGATGTTCAGCATTTAAACCAATCATTTATATTCCTTAAAAACAAAAACACCTAAGTGTGTGGGGGAAGTGGGGGGTCGGGGCTTCAACCTTGAAAGCAATATTAAGGGGGAAAAAAGTACTACAAATCTTAAATACTTCCCTAACTGCTTTTTGATATTAAAATATTTTTTTAAACAACTGTTTTTTAATGTAAAGTTTCCTGGAAATATGCCTATGTATAGGTATATTACTAGCAGAACTGAGTATACCTAGTACTAAAGCATAACCAGGGAAAAAGTTACAACACCCAAAGTAAGTCACTCAAAAGGTTGGCAGTGGGGGCAGGCAGATAGAAATGAGGGAACCAAATATCAAATTTTATTACAGAAAATGATACTCCAAATACTTATATATACAGTGAAGAAGAATTTTATGTATAGGATAGTCAAGTAAACAATACCAAAATTAGCCTGGAAAGTAAATGTGGCATTCAAAGATTATTTTAGGCTTCTGTGGTATGGTGAATTAACATGTCTCTTCTAGTCATGGTCTTTGTTGTTGTTGTTGTTGTTAAGTGCCGTCGAGTCGGTTCCTACCCATAGCGACCCTGTACAGGGTTTCCGAGGCTGTAAATCTTTACGGGAGTAGAAAGCCTCATCTTTCTCCCGCGGAGCAGCTGGTAGTTTC